TGTTTAAAATGTGTATTAAGGCTTTATAAAGTTTTTAAAAGGTTTTTATAAGGTTTTTATAAAATGTTTATAAGGTTTTTATAAGGTTTTTATAAGGTGTTTAAATGTATATTAAGGGTTTAAAAACTAATTAAAAAGTGTATTAAGGCTTTATAAAGTTGTATAAAAGGTTTTTATAAGGTGTTTAAATGTGTATTAAGGCTTTATAAAGTTTTTAAAAGGTTTTTATAAGGTTTTTATAAGGTGTTAATAAGGTTTTTATAAGGTTTTTATAAGGTGTTTATATGGTTTTTATAAGGTTTTTATAAGGTTTATAAGGTGTTTAAATGTATATTAAGGGTTTAAAAACTAATTAAAAGTTTTACAATGTTTTTGTAAGGTTTTGTGAAGCATTTAAAAGATTTTACAAGATTTTTGTATAGCTTTTAAAAGTATTTTACCTACTTACAGTTCCATAGAAAACTTCCATTCATGTCACAAAGGTAACAAATAGTAACATACATAAGTATTAACACATGAACTTGAGGTTGAAATACATATTTCACAGTAACATACATAAGTATTAACACAATGAAAGAAAAACCATCACAACCAAATCAGAAGTAGTTAGCGATTACAAACAATAATTACGGGTTTATTGGAATATATCTCAGACTCTAATTTCACTTCTCCAAAAGCTATGCATACATAAAAGAAATTCGTTTGTTCATTTGTAAAGCCCACTGTAACCTCCTTCTCTTTTGTCCACTTATTAATCTCTACAACGAGCCAACACGTTACATGACGAGGTGAATCTTGATTCTGTTCTCAAGCTTCTTAGAAGTTATGTGTTCAGCAATTCTCAGATCTCCAGCATCTAATCCACGAGAGCTTATAGCCAATTCTGCGACTGTGACATCAAGTGATTCAAAGCTTCAGTTTTTGCAGTCAAGAGGATACAATGCACCTGCAATTAAAGAACGAATTAACTAAAGCTAGGAGAGAGAGAGAGCCAAAACTGGTCATCTAGTCCATTACCTCAAATACATGATATATGAGTCTCATCTAGTCCATTTAACACATCAGCTCTTCTAGACAACAAAACCAACATAACAACACCAAACCTATAGTTATCAAGTTTCTCTACAACACTAAGTATCTTTCATTGGTGATGGGCTCTCCTATCAAATTCACTCTTCCTACACACACAACAGAACAAACATCTTCACCATCTATTTCATATTCATATGCAACAATTCTCATTACAATACCATCTTCTAATCATCTAAATACAAAAATTGCAGACATCAACACATAATTAGCAACCAATTCATCAAAAATCCATATCATATAGAATTCTCTTTCCACAACTATTAAAAATCATACTTAATATATGCTTCTCATCCATTAGCCAACAACAATTTGCATAAAAAAAATAAGCTTATTTGTTTGGCATTTTACCAAACACCTTATGTGCGCTCAATGAATCTTTCTATTTTCTGTAGAAATCACAGAAACGTGTACCTTAAATGTATCATTATCAAACCTAAGACAAAATCAGAAAAGCAAAGAAGAAGAAAAGATCAAAGCTCACCTATGACGACAACTCTATATGTTAGCAACAAAAGGAAGGTATGACTAAGTAGAAGATGGAACTGAGAAGAAAGAACGACAGAGAACAAGAGACGAGGTGAGACAACGACTAAGGAGAAATCAGAGAAGATGAGATGATGCTAGAGAAGAAGGTCGATGAACACCGAGAATGATACACGGCGAGATCGACAGACGGCGAAGAGAGAAGGCGAGAGAAGGAGAGAGAAGGAAGAAGGTGTGCGTTTAGGTATGTTAAAAGGGAGAGTTAATATTAAAGAGGGTAAAGTTGTCATTAAAATTTTAAGAAAGATAAAATTAAAAATGACAAGAAAGGAGGGTATTTTTAAAAAGGAGCATCCCAAAAGGGGTATTTCTAACAAATTCTCTAAAAGTATTAAGAGTAATGAACAAAACTAATATTTCATTCATCTATCTTTATTATTTAGTATTATAATTTGTCATCCGAATTTTTTTATTAATTTTTTTTGGGAAACCATAATAAAACACAAAGCCAAAAGAAGGAAATTAAGTCGAAAAACAAAAGAAAAATTCTCAGAAACAAAGCTGGAGAAAAACGTGAATCCTCAAAAATATAACCCCAACACCAAAGAAATTTAACTATTAAAATACAAATCATAAATTTTTAAGCTAAAATATAAACCATATATTTTAATACTATATAATCAATTAATTATTTTTGAATAAACAAACATTGAAATCATTCTATCTTATTAATCTTACCATATAGTTGCCTTATATTAAAATAATTTCATACTTCTTAATAATGTGTGTGTATGTTTGTATTTCTATATAAAGTTACTATTAATCTCTTTTTTTTTGACATTATTATTATTACAAATTATAAGTCTCTCTCTGAGAGGGACCAGACTCGATCCTAGATTTGGTGGGAATGCAATAGAGATGAGAACCACTAGCCAACTTACTATTAATCTCTTGTGCAGGCAAAAAAACAACAGTAATTTGTTCTAAATAACTACATGTATTTTATTTATGTTCAAAAAAAAAAACTACATGTATTTAAGATAAATTCAAACAAGCATAGTGTGAATTGATAAAACATAATTAATACATGTAAAAATAGTGTAATAATAATATTAAAAAGAGTCTCTCGCCACTACACTCACAAGTCGAAGCACTAGTGTGGGCCATGAAGTATATGATCAAAGCAAGGAGACGTGAAATGACGTTCATTACAGACTGTTCAGATTTGTCAACTACCTAGAGGAGATTAAAGCAGATATGGAAGTATATTTTTCTTCCTTTTCTCTAATTAAAGTTCCCCGTAATTCTAATTTTAAAGCGGATATGTTAACACGTAAAGTACGTGTTGAGCCACTAATCTAGTTGTATGTAAACAACATTCCTACCTCTTGGTTTTTTTGAGTCTCTATATTATTGCTGTTGACAAAAAAAAAAAAAAAACATTAAAACCTCTCATAATTGTAATTACAAAGTGGAGGGAGTAATTAATTAACGTAACTGTAACAAAACACAAATGATTAGCTTAAGTCTTAGTTAATTAAATTTCCGCATTTGTTGCAAATTTAAGACCAAAGCTTTCCTTTTTATCAGTCTTCTCCGACCTCCACCGCCAAACCCGGCACGATGTGGCTACCATCAGCCACTCAGATGACCAGAGGTGGACTTGGGATCGCCGCTATGTCATACGTGGCAATCGATTACATGCGTTACGTGTCACCGGTGTGGCATTCTCGTCTTATGCCAGTACTTTGGTCGGTTCTTGCTCTCGCCGTCGTCACTCGTGTTCTGTTCTACAAGCACTGGTCTAAAGAGCTACGAGCAGCTATACCTTTCCTTGGTTCTATCGTCTTCATGCTCTGTGCTCTTCTCTTTGAAGCTCTTTGTGTTCGCTCTGTTACTGCTGTTCTTGGCTTAGATTGGCATCGGTAAAGCTTAGATCTGTTTGGAATTAGCTTAAAGATTGAGTCTTTGACTTCAAGATTGAGTCTTTGACTTGGAATTAGAATAAAGTTTACATTTTTAAGCTCTTTTGTTGCTTCTTGATTTGAGTTAGTGATTAAAGGTTTTGTCTTTGATAGGGATACATCTCCACTTCCTGATACAGGACAATGGATCTTACTTGCACTAAACGAGAGCCTTCCAGAGACAATTGTGGAGATCTTGAGAGCTCATATCATTGGATTGCATCATTTTCTTATGTTGTTTGTAATGTTGGGTTTCTCTGTAGTGTTTGACTCAGTGAAAGCTCCAGGTTTAGGATTAGGTGCGAGGTACATGTTTACTATGGGAATAGGACGTCTTTTAAGAGCTATAACGTTTGTATCAACTATCTTACCTTCAGCTCGACCTTGGTGCGCTTCAGCTCGGTTTAATAATGTACCGTCTCAGCCTCATCGTTGGGCTCAGAAGTATTATGTTCCTTATGCTAATGACCCTTCTGCTATAAGGAAGCTACTTCATTGGGATGCAGCTTATGGTAATGTATTGTCTTGCTTCAATTACTACTTAGGCCTTTATTGGTTACTAATTAGTAATTGTAACAGCTGATCCAGGGACACTCATTGCTGACTATAGAGCTGATTGGGGTTTAATGAGCTTCCTTAGTGAGTTCTTGAGACCGAGTTACTCTGAAGGTTCTTCTTGGTTTGCTCTACTAAAGAAAGCTGGAGGTGGTTGTAATGATCTCTTGTATAGTGGTCACATGCTTGTAGCTGTCTTAACCGCTATGGCTTGGACGGTATATTCACTTGTTGACTAATGCATTAAGAGGATTTGTTAGACAGATTTAATATGAGGCCTTAACGTTTGTGGTAAATGTATCAACAGGAGGCTTATGGAGGCTTCTCTTCCGCAATGATATGGTTGTTCGTGGCACACAGCGCGCAAAGGGAAATACGAGAGCGACATCATTACACGGTAGACTGTATTGTGGCGATATACGTTGGTATCCTTCTCTGGAAGATGACTGGTTTCATATGGTCAGATGAAAAGAAAACGAAGCAGACAGAACTAGAGAAGATTCAGAACAGGTTGATTCACGCGGCGAAAGATTCAGACATGGAAGCTGTAAGGAGACTTGTGGAGGAGATGGAGGTTAGCTCAAGGGAGGTGAAGCAGAGTAAAGTTGTCTCGAACCGGACAATGACTGTGTTTGCGTGTGCAACAGTGATCACAACACTTACTATAGTGATTCTGGCGTTGACTTTGACAAGCGACGGCTAAATTGAGACCTTGAGGGTTTATGCATATAGCTTGATAGTTGTCTTACCACGTTTCCTCTGTTTTATTGTTTGCAAGTGTCATTAAAAAAATTTGTGCTACTTTCTTGGCATTTTGGTTTTTGATGATTTAGAGACTTTGGTAATTTAAATAAGTGTAATAGGAAAAAGGTGCGACAGTACTTGAAAAATTAAACTGGTTTAGTTTTTGGACTTAGAAAACTTTTGACATCACTCCTGACTTATCAAAAAAAAAAATCAAGGTATGATAAAAGTAAGTTCCACTCTCTCCTTATTGGTGGAAAAACATTTAAACCCTTCATTTAAAAAAAACATATATATAAGTAAATGTTTATGATAATCATTCAATACAAAATTAAATTACACCATAAGTTATAAACAAATGGTAAAGAAAATGAAAGGAGTTAATTTTATATATATATAAAAGTAAGGTTTCACTCTCTCTTTATTGCTTCACGAGGTAATGTCCCGCGCATATGCGCGGGTTGTTATATATTTATTTAATTATTTTAGTTTATTTATTACTTATAAAAAGAGAATTTTGAGAAATACCCCTTTTGATGTACCCTTTTTAAAAATACCCCATTTATCTATCCATTTTCAAAAATACCCCTTTTTAAATATAAAAAATTATAAAGTTTTATATAGTTTATGTAAAGCCCGTGTTTTGAAAATTAATAGTAGACTTGAATGTGTATAAGAATTAGGGTGGAGTCGGTTTAATTCCGATTGATTTCCTAAACTGGTCGATTTGTTTAATTGAACCAAAGGAGGTTTAATTAAAGTCGGTTTAGGTAAATTCTGGTTTAATCAGAATTAAACCAAAAACCCTAGTTTTATAAAAAACGCTTCTTCTTTTTTTTTTTTTTGTGGCTGTTGTTTCTAAGAGTTGAGTTGAGAAAAGGAGAAGACGAAGTTTACTTGTGAAAAGGAGAGTGTTAGCTTTGCTTTGGTGTTTAAGGCAAGAGAAGCAGATTCGTCACGTCCTGGTAGAATAGAGTTACGACGTATCAAATCTTATCGAAAGGTAATGAATTTTGGTAGGTTTGTTCTTAAGGCGTTTACGTTGATTCTCCTTTTTACAGAAGTGAATTCGGATTAATACTCAGTGAGTTATATATGCAGTTTGGTGAGACGCGCTTTCTTTGTTGCGAACTGGGATCAGCGGAGTTTGTAAGTGCGATAGTGATTTCATCGCTTCTCCGATC